CTCTTCAGGTCAGCTGCTTGTATCCCTAACCCCCCATCCCCCTGGATTTTGGGTGCCTAGGACTTAGCTCTGCTGGGTACAGGAAGGCACATAGCTTCTCTGGGCTTGCCGCTTCTCAGTTCTGACAGTATGAAAAGAAATCTGTAGGTACCCCCAGTACTCAGTGATGCTGAAGAGCCAGGAATGAACCAGACACAGCTCTGGACTCAGGCATGCTCAGTCTAGCAGGAGCAAGACTGGCGCCCAGACAGCTTGCCTGGGTGCTGCCGCGGGTTCATTCAGCCTGTGTGTCCACTTCCCTCGTATGGGCCATGGTGCTATGGGCCAAAGGCCAGTGAGGCCTGAGGGTCCCTGGGCTGTGATGGGGAAGTGTAGGGACAGTGGGGCCTGAGAACAGGGAGCAAGCCTCCATGGGAAGTGATCAGGAGTGGCGCCAGTTCCTCAAGTAAAAGCAGGAATCTGCAGTGGAAGAGAACATTTCAGACAGGCCATCCAGGTATAACTGCAGTGAACACCTAGTCTCAGGCAGGACACTTAGCATTGCCCATCAGGCCTGAGATGGAGCTGCGTATCATCCCCCTTGTACATGTAAGGAAAGAGGGCAGAGAATTGCCCCAGCCTCAAGCTGGGAAGAGGTATGGTGAGATTTGAATGCAGTCCTTAGATCCATTTGTATTGTTCTGAGTAAGACCTGAAACCCAAACAGCAGCTGATTTCAGGGGATTTATTCTTCTTAGAGAATGTCACAAAGCATTTGGGATTTGAGGGGGCCTTGGAAACAGGAAGGGATTCTGTTTTCCATAGGGTGTCCTTCCGCTCCCTAAGCAGACATAGGTAAGGACAGGAGACCAGTGAGGCAGGGCCCCCCTGGATCACAGCAAGGAGAATGGGAGGCTGGCAGTGGTCCAAGAGAGGACGAGCAGAATTGAGTAGAGACTTTAGGGTCAGCTGGGTAAGACAAGCTCTATGACATAGTCAACCAGCAGGTCCATCCCTTAACCCAACCCAGCCATTCTCACCCTACTTTGTTAATGGTTTGAGCAAAAGGGTAAGATCTGTCCTGCAGGGCAGACAGGTACTGATGGAAGCATCTAACAGAGCCCAGAATCTTAGAATCCTTCAAGGATGTGTTCCAAAATTCCTTTCTGGGCACCAGTAGAATCCATCAGGAGGACCCAAAGTTGCCCACCCCCCCTTTGCTGGAGCCTCCTATCCACTCACTGCTTGGCACCACACGGAGATACCATTTCCTCTGCCCATGGTCCCCACCATCTGGCTCCAGCATATTTTAAAAGTCAGGGGAAAGAGCCAGACAAGGTGGCACAGCCTGCAATCCCTGCATTTGGGAGCCTAAGGCAAAATCATCTCCAGTTCCAGACAGACTTAGGACCCTGCAGCAGACACCCCTTGTTCAGGTTCTGACTCTGTCTCAAGTTCAGAGTGGGTTTCAATCACTCTGAATCCGTCACTCAGGACACTCACCCTTCCCCAAGCTGGAGCACATGCTTTGTGTCACCCGCCCATGGACAGGCTCCACATCTGTGGTGGGTGAGCACTAGTAGTTTAGGGGTTTCCGTCCTCAGTGTTCCCTGCCTGAGGTACAACTCATAATAAACCCTGAACCCCCTCACCTCTGGAAATAGGCTGCCAGACAGGAAGAAGGGTTTC